ACTCCCCGTAGCCGGTCCCCAGCACGGCGGCATCTTCGTTGCAATGTTGTTTTTCCAATGATGTGCGTTTCCTTTCCTCTCGCTTGCTAAGTAGATTGGCCCCAGTGAGAATTCAGAAGCATTTAGCAAGGCTGAAAGGTTTGTTTAACCCGTGATTTGCGCTTAAGGTTTAATTACCGCACACGTTGTCACACAGGGGGAAAACATGAGGAATGTTCCTTAGGGAAGAAGCAAAAATCCAGGATGGGCGAAGCCTCAGGTAGAAAATCAACCTAGATCTTAGGAGAAATTTCATGATACTTAAAACAATTGAGCAGTGGAACAACGTGCCTCCAGAAGTTGTGAAGGCCGTTCCAACACGGGACGTTTTTAAGAAATTGGGACAGTCATTTGTCTGAAATGTTACAGGGTTTTCTGCCTAAGCAGAGGGTTGGACTAGAACCGAGATGGCGAATCTGTGGCACGCAGAGCCATTTGCGCCGGCACACGAGCTGCAGGCAAACTTGCCTCACTGCGCATGCGTGCGCCTCACAGCTGATTTTTTGGGCGGTTTGAGGTCCTTTTTGGCCTCCCAGAGTCTTGAGGGAGGCTTCTGCAGGCTTTGTAGGCTGAAAACTAGCCCCGTTTCATCACTTCTGGTATTTTTGGAAAAACAGGAAGTGGCAAAACCGGGCTAGATTTTGGCTTATAACGCTTGTAGAAGCCTGCAGAAGCCTTCCTCAAGTCTTTGGGAGGCCGAAAAAGGCCTCAAACCAGCCGAAAATCAGCTGTGAGGCACAGTGCAGGTAAGGGGGTGGGTGGTCAGGGGGCGATTGCGCGCACATGCGTAGGGGATGTGGGGGGCGCACATTGCCTTCTGGGTGCTGGCATGCAAGTGCAAGCGTGCAAGCGCACGCAAAATTTTGGGTACAGGAGCCCAAAAAGGTTAGCCACCACTGGACTACAAGATCTCCAAGGTCCCTTCCAACTGTTACTTTAATTCTAATTCTAATCTTCAGGATTGCCAAACTAGGTTATCTTGCCCTGCTGGTAAGCCTCACTTAATGGGAAATCTTGGCTTGTCTGAATCAGCTTTAACCTGGGGAGATTAAGAAAAAGAGCAAGGGAAAATTGCAACAGAAATTTTGGATTCAATTGTGGTCGTAAGTCAAGGACTACTCATAGCACATGTACATAGTCATGGAAAATGGCACAGCATACAGGTTTACCATATTATTAAATTTTATTTCCAACCATAATCCCATGACAATATAAAAATAACTTTTTTGCAGCTGAGCTGAACTCTTGGTGACATTATCAATGCATCCAAGGAGTTTTCATACAGAATTGGCTTGCAAAATGTCTTTTTTCTACAATGCTTTTTTTTTTCCAACTTCCTGGTCTAGTTTACAGGGTAGTCCTCGACTTACAACAATTAAGCCCCAAATTGCTAAATGAGACCATTGATTTTGTCTCATTTTACCCCCTTTCTCACCATGGTTGCTAAGTGAATCACCGCCTCTGTCAAGTTAATAACACGGTTATTAAGTGAATCTGGCTTCCCCATCAATTTTGCTTTGTCAGGTCACAAAAAGGAGATCATGTAACCCCGGGACATAGCAACGGTCATAAATATGAGTCAATTGCCAAGCATCTGGATTTTGATCACATGGCAATGCGGATGTTGGAATCGTTATGCAAAAAATGGCCTAAGTCACCTTTTTCAGTGTCACTGTAACTTCATACAATGACTAAACAAATGGTTGTAAGTCAATGACTAGCTCCATAGCTCTGGGAGTACAGCCCTTACTTAGACAGGCCACATAACTACTAACCAGGTCCAACCAAGCTTAGCAGCTCTTTCTGAGATCAAACTGGGTTGCTGCGCCCAGTTAAATTATCACATTTTGCAATCAATTAAAAAGGATGGAGGTTGGGCAACATAGAAATGTTTATTAATATAAAAAGCGCTCATCAGATTTAATACTGCAAAAGTAAAGCTGGTGTAATTTTCCGAGGTTTTGTTACAAAAAGATTGTGCTTTATTTTAAAACAAGCCACAATAATTAGGAAAATAGGAAGGGGTTCTGTAATAGGGCAAATTTAAAATTAATTAAAAAGTTTCGGAGTAAAAATGTTTTTTTTTTTGGGGGGGGGGGGGAGCTGGGGTCCCCCTCTAATTAAACATAACGCAAAGCAACACAGCCAAGCCACTCTGACAATAATATGGTTTTAAAAATTGGGGTACCGTGTGCGAAATTATTTTTTTTCCTAAAGCGTCCGAGGCGGCTTAAAAACTCTCCCTCAGTCCTCCAAGCTCAGGTTTATTCACTGGAAGAAAGCCCCCAGCTTAAGCAGCTCAGTGGCAGACTTGAAATTGAGAACATTTGCAGAGAACATCCTGAGTTGCTTCTGTACATGCTTCAGGGAGGAAGTGCTGGCCTTTTTTTTGTAAGTCACCTCTTTTAAAAGTTTGTCCGCTAAATAGTGAAGCCAAAGAATGTTGCTGTGGGGGAAATAATCGGCCCAGTTGTTTGCGTTCTCTTCTCTCATCTGTCTATAAATATCAAACTGGTAATCCCCTCCTCCTTGGAACACCTCTTCGTCGGTGGAAAGGTCACAAAACACTGTTAAACCGTCCCTCTCCAGCCTGGAAAAAGTATAATCAATGATGTTCACCAGAATGCCGTGAGTGGGAAGGACACGGACTTCCCCATTCAAGGTAACAGCCACTTCTTTTAAGCTGGTTTTCCTCACCAGCACATTGCCCCAGTGTAAGTCTCTGTGTTCAAAGCGGAGGGCTTCTTCGGCGACGGCCAGCGAAGCCGTGACCTGGTGCAGGATGCTTTTTGCCGAAGTCACCGAACTCAGATGCCGGTTCCTCATGTTCTCCAGATCTGTGCCTCCAAATTCAAACTCCAGGACCATGAAGAGTTGCTGGTCGCCGAAGAAATCTGGCCTGTTGTTTTCGGACTGCCTCAGCCGGTGGTATTCGTCCCACGCGTTCAAGAGATGCTCGGGATAAGTGCCTTGGACACAGTGAACGGAATATAACCGGATAAAACCCGAGGTTCGGTTAACTGCCTCATCGGCGAGGAGGCTCAGTTCTTTGGAAATGATGATTTCGGGCAAGATTTCACTAAAAGTCTTCTGCGGTTCGCCGTTCACTCGCTCGCTCCCTTCGATGGGGATTATTTTTAAAGCCACGGTTCCCCTTTCAGTCTCGGTTTTGAAAACCTCCCCAAATACCCCTTCCCCGATTTTTTCACACTTCGGCATCTTTTCTCGAGATATCCACTCCTCAAAAGGGACAGGCCCCTCCTGCTGGCATTCCCTGTAGACTTTTTCAGCATCCGTCAAAGTCGTCTCCAAGATGGAGAGAGAGGTCATGGACGACAGCAGCACCATGGAGGAAGACGGACAGATGGAATAGCCCAGCTTTTGGGTGAAAGGGGTATTGCAAGCCTTGGGAAGAGGAGACTGGTCCGAATAATAGGTGGCGGTGCTACCGTTCAGGCTTTCGGCCTCGGAGAGGATTTTCTTCTTTTTATGGAGGGAAAAAGAAGCCCGGATTCTACGCCACAAGCTGGAATTTTTGAGGGAGGAGTCCAAAGGTACGAAAGAGACGGAAAGTTGGTCTTCGATCTCGTGCCACTTCAGCCGTTCCTGCAGGAGGAGAGAATCAGCTTGCTGTTTCCAGCCTGTGTTTTGCCCATGTGACACTCGATCCACTTTCCGGCGCCCCCAACGGTTCAAACTGAAGCCGCTAATGCAAGCTTTCCGGCCAGTCCCTCCAGGATTACAACCGAGGGCCACTCGGTGGTTGTTCCTGGAATCGGAGGTTTTAGGCAGGACGTGGGGAGACTGGGCCAGGAAGAGCTTTTTCTTCTTCAAGGAACGGGAAGCCTTTTGCTTTCTGGTGGACCGATTCGCCAACCATTTCAAAACCACCTGATTATCCAGAACCACAACCGGCTGGAACGGGAGGCTGTTTGGAACGATACCGTGGTCGCTCGCTCCTTCCGAAATCCTACAGCCAACCATCTCCTCGGGAGGACTAAGGTCCTGAGCGAAGCTCAGTTCTCGCTCCTCAGCAAGAAAAACGGCCTCTTTCGGGGGAAAGAGTGCAACTTTGCCATCCTGCATTCTGGCTTGAAGTTGGAAAACGCCGCAAATAGGGCTTCGGGCTGCAGGGCTCGCTTCCATCGACGATGACGGCACCGGAGCGCAATCTCGATCGGACTCCTGGTCCGGCCTCTGCTCTCGCCTGACCGGGGAGGCTGCCATCCCACTTTGAGACTCGCAACACTGCAAAGTGCTTTGGATGGGAGAGCCGGTCGTCTCCCTGAAACACTCCGGATGCGCAGGGTCCATCGGGGAACCGCCCTGCAGGGACTTCTGGGGATACGGTCTGGCCTCCTCCTCCGGGCTGAAGAGCTGCAGAGAGTCTCCCATTTCCTGCCCCTCTTCGTCCATCTTCAGCATGCTCAGCTCCAGGAGGACCCCATGGTGGGACTCCCGGCGGCCTTCTCGGAACACTTCCCACGTGCGGTGGCGACCCAGAGGGTGGGAGACGGGGCTGTGGGGGTCTTTCTCCTCTTCTTCCTCCTGGGGGGTCCACCTCCTTGTGGCCCCCAATGGGGTCAGGAGGGGCCTCTCGGGAGTGCTGCACAGCAGAGGAGCCCCCCGCAGACGAGCGGGGCCCTTCTCGGGCCGTCGACAGGTGACGTTCCTGCGGAGGGGGGTGGCGGGCACGAAAGAGCGGCTGCTGTTGCTGATCTGGCTCCCTTGCGGGGGAGGCTTGTTCTCCTTGGGGGGCCCCCGGTTCTTCCTCTTCTTGCCTCCTTTCTTGGCGGGGGGAGGGCGGGCCTTGCGGGCTTGGGCGGGCGGGCGGAAATCCGGGTCGCGGTCGTAGTCGTCGAAGGAGGCGGCCGAAGAGTAGGAGGTCCCCCCGGAGGAGCTGGTGCTGAAGAGGCCCTTGGGGTCGGCGGGGGGCGAGATCCAGGGAGCCGCCCGCGGCAGGAGCCTCAGCCCGGCCTTGCCTCCCGCTCGTCCTCCGCGGCTCGCTCGCCCCCTCAGCCCCGTGTAGGTCCTCAGCAGCCGCGGCCGCAGTTGCTCCATGCGAGCGGAGCCTCCCAGCCTTGCGCGGAGACACCGAAGGGGGGGACCGGGGCGGAGGAGGACCCGGCTCCCCCCACCCCAGCGAACGACCTCCCCGGCCCTCAGCGAGGCCGAGCGGGGCCTCCGAAGGCCGCGCCCGCCGCCATTTCAAATTCCAAACTCTCGCGAGGGCATGCGCCGGCTCTCGCGAGAAGTCGGGCGGGCGCCGCGTTGCGCCCGCGCGGCCTCCACGTCTCGCGGGAGGCTCGAGGCCGCGCGGCGCGTAATGGCCCCCTCTCGACGTCTCGCGAGATCTGCGGCTTGGAGGCCCTGAAGAGAATGAAACTGACATAGAGGAAAGGGTGTTTTTCTCTCTCTCGGTGCGAGACGTCTGGTTTGGATTTGACAGCATAGATGTCGGCGAGGTTCTCCATTTGAGGGGTCGAAAGGAGGGGAAGTTTGCTTCAAGGCCGGCAGCGTTCAAACGTACTGCAGTATTTTTTTTTCACTTGTTTGCTCTGGTTTTTGTTTTTTTTTTAACCTCCCGCCCCTGGCGGAGGAAGAACAGCGGGGACAACCAGAGCAAATGATGTGGGGAACTGAGTTGCTCAGAGAGGAAAGGAGAAAGCAGGAAAGGGGGAAAAGGTCCTCCATTTGAGTGGTCCAAGGAAGAACTGGCAGCAGGACGTGGGAGCTCAAAGGGTTTTATACTTGCAGGAAGTTGGACGTTTATTCTATAGTTTTTCAACCCTGGCAACTTTAAAATAGGTGGACTTCAACTCCCAGAATTCCCTGAACAGCCA